CAGATGACTGCCCTGTGGTTATGGAGGGAATGCCCCAGGGTGTGGGAGACACACTAAAACACCCAAGGCTTGGGGCATCAAGTCACCAACTTACTCTCAAAGAAGTCAAGAGAAAGTTAGGTATTCTGCACTTACAGCTTTTCTGTGACCTGAGATATTTTCCCCCACAAAAAAGAGAAAATGAGAAAAAGAAATCTACCTGAAAGAGAACAGGAAAGCGTTCCTTGTCCCACTGGAATCTGCGTTCCGCCTCTGCTCTCTGGAAGCCCTGGCGTGGCACACCTGAGCCAAGCACCCTCCAGCTGCTCTCGGGGACCCGCACGCACCGGGAGGCTGCTCTGCAGTCATCTCACCCACATCTGCTGTGCTGCGCTGCGCATCCCACTCACCTGGAAGCGAGGAGCGCAGGGACCCAGCTGCCCCCAGCGACCCTCACCAAGCCCATAGCCTGCCTGCCAGTGCAGGGGCTCTCGGTTGTTCCCCCAATGAAGGGACACAGTGCCAGAGGCGTAAAGGAACCAAGGGCTGCCAGGCTCTGCGTGATCCAGAAATGAAGACTTGGCAGGACTCAGACCAGTCAAGAGAGGGGCAGACAACCGCACAGGGATGCCGGCGTTCCTCACTCAAAATCCATCCAGCACCTGGGCTGGAGCGTCAGCAGCAAGAGTGTGTGGCTCCCAAGTGACGCGTGCATTAAAATAAAGTGCAAAAGTGTGGGGTTAGGAACACACACGGGATATACAGGGGGCCAAGGCCAGGCTCACCAGGAGGCAGAACAAAAGGAAGTGAAATCAGAGGAGACTTCCTAGAGGAGAGGGCCTCCAGCCTAGCTCTTGCAGGAAGAGCCAGGCTAAGAGGGGAGGTTTTCCCACACCTGCACAGCACATGAAGGACTCAAGGGAAAAGGCATGGGGGCAGGGCCGACAGGCTGGAATGTCAGGTATGATGCAGGGATGGGTAGGAAGGAGTGTTGGTGCCGGAAGAGCAGACAGAGAAAAGCTGTGGCAGCCAGGGGCCTGGGGCCCCTCTATGCCAGATCCTGCAGACAGGCTTCCCAACCTGTCCTATGGGGAGAAGGCCTGCCAGGGCGGTGTGGGCAAGAGCCTGGTGGGTGGCGCCCTAAACGTTCCAACTGCACACCAAATGCAAGGCTGCCTGCTGGCCTCAGCAACCTCACACCCAAAGCTCCTTCCAGACGCCTGCAATCTCTTATCAGAATCAGCAGATTGTGGCCAGACTTAATTAGTTTAATTAAACCCAAGGTGGCTTCCAGGCATTTTGGATAAAAGAATAAAGCATACCCTGCCAGCTCCAGGGGGCACAACAAAGGGGCAACCTGCATCTCTATGCAAACACCTCCTGGTAGCCGGCTCTGCACACAGCAGATACTCAATAAGTGCGCACTGCTCCTGTGCGCCTCAGGGCCAATCATTGGGATCGGCTCAGAGAGGAGGGGCACTCCAAATGCTATCCTCTGAACACAGGATGTCACCATGACAAGCCAGCATGGCATTCTGAAACATGGGGACACCATGAAGCCTCTGCACTAGACAGGTCCCGGGCATGCCCTGGCAGCAGGGAGACAAAGACCCTGCCGATTTGCCAGCCAGGCATCCAGATCCCCAGGGAGGGCGGGCACACACTCCCCATGCTACCCGTCCCGTGGAAACAGACACACACCACCAAGGAACCGAGAAGCAGGCAAGGAACACCCCCGAAAGTCAGCGAGGCGGCTTAGCAAAGTCTTCTGAGATCATAGTTGGTTCACAATCCTAGCCGACCTAAGGTCATGGTTTTTGTTTTGCCATTTACTAGCTGTGTGATCTGGGGCATATCCCTCTACCTCTCTGGGCTTCAGCTGCCATACCCATGAGACAGGGATAGCGTACCCCTCCCAGGATCGTGCAAGGGCAGCTGTGATCTTTCTTGCACGCTAACCACCACGGACTGAGAGTACACCTCCCATCCCTTCTCCAGGACTGTAAGTTTCCCAGATAACAAAGAGCAGCCGTGCAGAGAGGCCACCCAGGTCCTTTCCCAAACCCCGCATGGCCACACACAGTAAGAGAACGGTTTCTTTCATTGCAATGCACAGTTGGAGCCACCAGCTAGCCCCCGGGCCCAGTGCATGTGGGTTCCCAGCACACGTGCAGGCCTGGGTGACAGCAAAAGACACGCAGAGCTCAGGGTAACCAGCCCCACACTCCACGCGACCACAGGCCAGCAGCAGTCAGCCACGGGGCGACACCACCGGTGTCCAGATGACCACCTGAAAATCATGAGCGGTAATTCAGCACCGCACTAAGGGCATTCTCTGCCTTGCCTCACCAAATCCTCCCAGCACGGCTGTGAGGTTACTGTCACTCTCCTTCAGCAGACGAAGAAACCGAGGCTCCAAAGGTGGTCGCCTACCTGGGAGGGGACAGTGCCAGGTTTCAATCAGAGCCTGTGGCCATGACGACACACAGATACTCGCCCATCAGGTTCTCCCTGCCCCACCCCCAAGCTGGGGCGGGGGGCTCAAAGGGGCTGTCGGGGGTATCAGTGCTGCTCCCCACCTCTCCGTGGCTCCAGGAACCCAGCACCCCGGCGGGGCCAAGCCACCTGCCACAGCCAGAGCCCCCTCCCCCGGCCGGCCCAACCACAGACGGGGCGGGGCCTCTGCTGAGCGGACCCACCCACACAGGCTCAGCGGGAGCCGGGGGCCGTCCCCCTGCTAATCAGCCGGGAACCGAGCAGCAGCCAGCAAGCCCGGGCAGCCCCTGCCGCTCACAGCAAAGGCAGACACTCCGGCGGGCCCAGCTCTGCCCTCCACAGCCCTTCTTCTCCTGTTTCCCTAGCCCAGCCCCGGGGGTGGCGGGGGCTGGATCTGCGCTGGCCCCGGGCGACAGGGCACCTGCCTGGGACCCGGGCAGTCAGTACTGGGAGTGCCTCAGGACGGCTCTGGCTTCGGGGAGCGCGGAGCACCAGAGCGCCGGAGGCTCGCCGGGGCTGCCTCCCTGGGCCGCCTAACGGAGTGGGAAGGCGGCCCCCGTCCCTTAGGGCTCTTTGTCAGCGGCCACCCCCCATCCTCCCCGGAAGGGGGGCCCCATCTCCTCGGAAACACCATGCCGGCCAAGGGGCAGAGGTCGCGCAGCCCAGCCTGGAAAGGCAGTGACTCACTCCATCCCTCCTTCCCCCGGCCCGTTTTCCGATGCCACATTTGTGAATGGCCGTTGTCCACGCAGACTTGTAGAGGGACCGATTGAAAGAGGTTACAGAGCCAACAGGAAAGTGCCCCCGGCCCCTTGGGCACCCAGCGCCCCTTCCACGCTTGCTGGGGTGCGGGTTGTGTGACCCGGCAGGACAGGACGGGAGCTTCCAGTCCGCTTAAGTCTCAGCTAAGTTCCCTTTAAAGGGCCAAGAAAAGCAGCTCCTGCCCACTGAGCAGACATTTTCCTGCCGGCCGCGGGCCACACGCGCCTTGGCCACGACAAAGGCCACACTTAAGGGTGCCGGGGAAGCAGAGAGGGGCTCCCGCTCGCACCAAGTTGGGCAGCCCCCCCCCCCCGCCCCAGGGCCGGATGCCGCTGGCGTCCAACCCGGTCCAGGAGGAGGTGGAGGCTGGAGGGCGGCGCGGGGGCAGCGCCCCCCGCCCACCCGCTCCCTGCGGCCTGGGCGCTCCTGCTCCGCGCCCCGCCCGGCCGGGCCCCTCGGGCCGCGCCCCGAGCACCGCCGCGCCTGCCCGTCCTCCTTGGAGTCCAGCCCCCAGAAGCTAAGCTAGAGGACCCGAAGCCCAACGAGGCCACCCGGAGAGGCGGGCCCCAGGGGTCGGAGACGACACAGAGAGGGGACCACGGAGGCGGGGAACCACGGAGGAGGGCGCCCCGCCCGGGTTCGAGACTCCTCTAGCCCCAGGAGGCGCAGACCTGGGCAACGGGCGTTCCCAGGCAGTGCCAGCGGGCGGCGGGGACGCGCCCCAGGCTTGGGGGACTTTGGTCAACTTCGCGCCTCCGGGTGGCCGCGCGGAGCCGGCTCTGGGCCCGGAGCGCGTCCTTCTCTCGGCTCCCCGTCCCGCCGCCTGCAGCCGTCCCCGAGCCCCACCGCTGCGGCCAGGGTCCCGGGACCCCCCGCGCGCGCGGACCCTCACCTGGGACATCTGCGGCCGGAAGTTGATGTCCTTGAGGTCGACGGAGCCGGGGGAGAGGTTGTGCAGCAGCTGGCACAGGAGCACGCCGTCGCGCAGCGCCTGCGCCAGGTCGAAGACCACGGCCGAGGGCCACACGACCCGGTGGTTGGGCGGCAGGACCTTGCAGTCAATAAGCCAGCGGCCGCACTGCCGCCACTGCTCCATGGCGCCCGCGGTGGCCGCAGGGCCGCCCGCTCAGGGCAGCGCTCGGGCCAAAGTGCGGCGGCCGCGGGGCATCCCGCCCGCCCGCGCGGGGCTCAGCGGTCGGGGCGGGGCTTCGCGCGGGCAGCCCCGGGTCCCCGCTGCGCCACCGAGCGCCCCCTCCTCTTCCTCCTCCTCCTCCTCCGGCTTTCCTCCGGGGCGCCGCTCCCGCCCACGTGCGGCCGCGGGGTGGGCGCTGGGGAGCGCGCGGGTCCCCCTTTCACACACACAAGTCCCCGCGGGTCCCGGGCCGGGCTCCACGCAGCCCGCCGCCGCAGCGCTCAGCGACCCGCCCCACCGGGCGCCGCATTCTGCGCTCTGGGCGCCCCGCGGCCGCTGCCGCTCCTGCCCCGCCCGAGACAAAGGCCCGGTGGGTCTGTCGCTCTGCGCGTCCGGGCCCGGCCTCCCTAGCCGCCGCCGCTTTGTTAGCCCGCGGGCGGGCTCCGCGCTCCGCGCCCGGCGCTCGGACTCTGCAGCTCCGCGGCGCGGGGCTCCGGGGGCGCTGGGGGGTGGGGGGCGCGGCCACGGGTGGGGAGGGGAGGGGGCGGGGCCCGCGCGCTGGCCGGGCCCCTCCCCGCGCCCCAAGCACCGCCCCCGCCCCCCCACTTCCTGTCCCGCCACCGCCCGCGAAAGTTGCGGAGGGCGGGGGCTGAGGCTCGGGCCGCGGCCCGGGTCCCGCCGACTCAATCCGAGAGGCGCCAGGACTTTTTCGGAGCTCACACCCTGGGCGAGCGACCTCGCTTGTGGAGTGATGGCTCGGTCGCTGTCTGTGCGTCCCTCCAGCGTTCCGCTCGTGCATATCAGGAGGTGACCCCTGTCGCGCGGGGGACCTCCGCATGGCCCTTCCGGACAGAGAAACCCAGAAGGGGTCACCGACTAGGCCGGGGCCTCCCGTGCCCCGCAAGGTCCATCAAGCGGCCCCTGCGAGACAACTCGAGGCCAGAGGCGCACGGGCCAGGGTATGTGCCCAGAGCCCCCTTCCCAGCCTCCTTCCTGGCCAGAGACCCGCAGGAAGCCCCAGGCCGGGCACAGAGAGCAAAAGGCAGGATTCCCTTGCTTAATGACCCAGGCGTCTGGCACTCGCAGCTGCCCAGAGGGCAAATCCTGGCGTTCGAGATGGAGTATGTGAAATAAGTAAGTGGGAGAGAGGGAAGGAGAAGAGGGCCAGCTGGCTGCCCAGGGTGTCCCCCACCCCCACACAGCCTGTGGGAGCCCACTGACCCCGCCCTGAACTACTTCCTGGGACACACCCTGGGGGGCTGGAAGGCCCTGTTCTCAGCAGCTGGCCTCCTGTGACGGTGGGAGGGCTCCAAGCACTGAAAGAGCCGATCTGGCACTGGCATGGTGTGGGCCCTGGCTCAGACGTCAGGAGCCCTGCATGCTCAGGGCCGACGCCCGTGGCCACTCTGGGCAAGTCCGAGCCCTTCTCTGAAACTGGCTCAGTCATGAGGTGGAAGTGGGGTGACCAGTCTTGAGGGGCCTGCCTTGGACACTAGCAGTTGAACCCTGGGCCTGTGTTAGCTGGGTGGCACTGGGCAGCTCCCCTTTGGGCCAGGCCTGTGCCCCCTCGGCATTCCTGGAGCAGGGCCCAGAGCAAGGTGACACACCCGTCCCACTGCCAGCTCAGAGACTGTACCCTGGGCCCTCAGTGCTGAGAACTGGCCTCTGCAGAGTCAGGCTTGCCCCTTCCCAAACTCAGGAAGCAGCAGGGGGACCCAGGCCGGGGTCTGGTCCCTGGAGAGAGGCGGGAGAGGAGCTGGCCTCGCAGGGAACACCCAGGCCGTGCTCACAGTGGTCCTGGCCAGAGTAAAACCAGGCCAACTGACCAGTGAGCTCCAAGCTCCTGTCCAGGTGTCCCTCTGAAGAAACCTTGGTGCACAAGCACCGGAAGGACCCCTGCCTCTGGGGGCGGGATTGAACCTGCCCAGCTGGAGACAAAGCAGGTGATCCGCTGCAGCGAGCGGACCCCTACAGCATCACCCCGAGAAATACCAGCTCTGGTGGAGCTGAACCCAGCCCTTCCAGCCCTCCCTCTGAGAGTGGCAGGCACCTTCCCCGGGCAGCACCCCCCCCATTCTGTAGCATAGGGAGCACCCCTCGTCATCAGAATTGCTCTCAGGAACAGGATTCACTGGCCAGAGGCTTTTGCACAGTGCTTGGGGCAGATCGGGGCTTCCATGGGGTGCCCTATTCATGGTGCCCTATTAATGCCCATGTGTCCCACAGGTAGCTCCCTCAGCAAGAAAGGTGCCCCTGTCCTCATTGCCCTTGGCCTTCCTGCCTGGGCAGAGAACCAACCAGGATGATGAGCCCAGGGATGGGAGGCAGGCGCTCACCGCCGACTATGCAGACAGTCGCCTGCCGCCCCCTGGTGGGTGGGGAAGGCACTGTTACCCCCTGACTGCCCCGCAGTCGTGCGGCCACTGCCCAGCTGCACCCAGAATCTGGGGCTTAGGCTTGAGAAAGCCAAGTCAAGAGACCCAGGCCTCACCCAGGTGTGGTCCTGAGCCAATCACAACACTTGCCAGTTTCCTCATCTGGACAATGGGCATCCCCACTCATCCTGTGTACCTCAAAGGGACCTGGGAAGGTCCAGCAGGCAGGCTGGATCTAAATGAATGAAAGCTTGGCAGAAACTCTCCTCCGGGCCCTTGGTGTGGATGCAATGAGCATGTCCACACTGCACCTACTCAGCAGTTATTAGGAAGCATGGACATGCTTCCAGAAAACCCTACCACCATCCACATCCTCTGCCACTCAGCGCTGTCTGCCTGGACTACCAGCAGCACACCTCCAGAGGATACGGCACCCTAGAGGTGAGCCCAGAGACGACAAGCCAAACGCAACCCTCGAGGTGGCAGCATCTCAGTGGGGCACAGCCAGTAATGACCGGTTTCACCAGTGAGAGGCCCTGTACTAAATGCCTGGATGGTGGAGTGGGATGAAACCCAGGGGACATAAAGCACCCATACCAGTCCCAGGATATGGATGGTGGATCACAGACCCCCTCCCTGCCTCCACTATACCACCCTCTCCCCTTCAGTCTGTCCTCAGCAGCCAGCAAGGACCTGATCAAACCTTGGGGAGACCCTGTCTGTCACTTTCCTGCCCAGAAAAGAGCCCTTTCCCCTCACCAGAGGGAAGACGCAGTTCCTTCCCAGGCAGGCCCCACATAGTGCACCCCCTCCCCGATACTACAGCTCTCCAGACACACCCAGCACACCCCCACCTCAGGGCCTTTGCACTTACTGTCCCTCTGCCTGAGACTCCTGCCCACGTAGGTGCATGGCTCACCCTTGCTGCTTCCACCGACCCCTCCCACACCTGCCCCCGTCTGCTTCTCTGCACTTTCCCCCACCATGAGGCCGGTTCACTCAGCCTCATCCCTCTAGACTGTCAGCTCTGAGGCCCAGGGACCATCTCTGTCCTGCCCCCAGCCCACATCCAGCACCGCTAACTGGCTCAGCCCACAGTAGGTAGTCCAGAAATAGTTGTTGAATGAAACACCAAATGAATAAACCAACAGCTTGGCAAAGTACTGCAACTACATTTTAAAATATGACATATTCTTTCATAGAAGTCACAGAAATGTGTTAAACTGATTCAAAGATTTTTTTAATAGGCTATATAACCTATTTAATTCCTCTAGCATGTTTTAACAACGTCTGTAGCATATTTCAACACCCTTATGTGAATGTGTGACATCACCCTACCTAAGATATGCCCAGTAGCACATTTCCACTCAGCATGTTGAATCCAACACTACTGATAGTTGTAGTGGCCGCTCCCGTTTGGAGGGCTGGGTGGCTGGCCTAAGGTGTCATAGGCGTGCTTCACCTCTGTTGAGCCTCCATTTGTTATGTTAGCTTTTTCTGTCCTGAGGGGTCAAGTGCAGAAACCAACACCCACACCGGTGAGCTGCTCCGGGTCCCCCAGCATTGCGTGAAAGAGCCGGGTCCAGGCAGCAGGCCTCCCGGGCATCTGCACAGGCATCCAAATGCTGCTGCTGAAAGGAGCGTCTGTGCCTGGGACCTCCTGCTGTCCCTCCACACACTGATTTGGGTGGGTGGGCGATGAGGGAAAAGGGAGGACACTGCGGTTTGAGAACACATAGCCACTGACTTGGCCAGAGGTCACAGCCGAGCCCACTCCTTTCCACACAGCCTTGCAGGGGCACCACATGCAGCCAGACCAGGGGCTTGGTTGGCTCGTTTCCCCAGCCAACGCCGAGAGCCGCTGCAGGGTCTCTGTGCCTCCTGCCAACAGGGCCGGGCCGAGAGTCCCAGGGAGCTGCCCCTGCAGAGGCCCTCGCCACAGAGGCTGTAGCCCACCCCCATGCTTCTCTCCCACTTCTTCCCAGTCCCTCCCTCCCTCATCCCGTGTCCTGGAAGCATGGCTCTGCTCTTGGGGGAACGGGAAGCGAATGCCCGACTCTTCCCAACACGACTGGATGAGGGAATTACTCTCACGTCCAAACCACATGGACACACACATTTTGCAAATTCCATTTGTAGCTACATCATGCAAATTCAGCTGTCACAATTTCCCAGGAAACTCTAGGTGTAGAAGAAGACCATCTGGGCTGCCGCGGAGTCAGGGTTTGCCTCGCCGCGCTCCGTGGTTGCCTTACATGGCGTTTGAAAAGGCAAAATGTGGTCCTGTTACTGCTTGTGGCTTCACCTTCCACAAATTAAGGCAAACACCCTTGTCCGTAGATTATTCCCTGACCCGTGACCTCTGACATCTCGCTACCAAATGGCCGTCGTCTGGGCACCTCTGACTGTCCCAGGGTAGCTTTCTTTGGCAGGCCTGAGGCTTTGCTCTCTTCTGAGAGGTGCACGTGAGGTCAGGGTGCAGGGTTACTTACGGCTTTGAGGGAGTGGGGAGGAGCCTCCAGGACTTAATTCATTTGTAGGCATAAGGCTGAGAACTAGGGATTTGGGGCAGATTCCAGAATTCTGCAGGACCCTCTCAGGGGACCAACAGGCCACCTCAAAAGAGGACAGAGGTCCAGGCTGGCTGAGGAGCTGTGCCCCACACAGCTGGTTGTGAGTTAGAGGACCCCACCAGGACCTGGGGTGCCCTCCACCACCGAGCATGTTTCTCGGCAGGCTTGCCGTGGCACTCCAGCTGGTTCAAAGTCTGACCCAGCCCTCCCTGGTGTTCAGTACTGCCCTTCACCCCTGGGGCAGGGGACAGCCTCCCTGGCAACCCCAAGACCTCCCACAGCCCTGCCACCTCCTGGGGCGATCTCCAGCACAGCCCAGCGGAGGGGCCAGCCAGCACCAGGGCTCTGAATGGCAGAACATTCTAGCCGTCACCCCAAGCCCTGCGCACCCCAGCCTGGCAACCACTCATCTCCCTTCTGTGTCCACAGGCTTGCCTGTTCTGGGCACTGCACATCAATGAAATTGTACAGTGCGTGGCCTTTGCTGTCCAGCTTCTTTCATTCAGCATAAAATCAAGGACCATTCATGTAGTGGGTGTGTATCCATTAAGGACTTCGTTCCCCCTTTTTGTGGCTGAATAATAACTCGTAAGTGGAATCCATTTTGATAATACATGCTATTTAATCCAGTGTATCTGAAACATTGTCATTTCAACATGTGATAAACCTAAAAACTTACTAATGAGATATTTTACATTGCACTTTTCATGGAAAGTCTCCAAATCTAGGCTGTATTTTACACTTACAGCACCTTTCAACCAGAGCACTAAATTGTCATCAGAAACATCTGATCAGGATTTAGGCTTCATAAAATTTATCGCTGAAAAGGTAGATTCATGTAGCCTATTGTTCCAGATATACTTAAAAGTCTGCCAAAACCCGAATCAAGTATCAAATTGTAAGTTAATTAAAATTAAATACAATTAAAATTCAGTTTCTCAATCAAAAAAGCCACATTCAAGAGCACAGAAGCCACATGTGGCTCATGGTTGCTGCCTTGTTGGGCAGTACGGGGTTTCTGACACCTCGCTCCCCACACACACTCCCCAAGGCCAGACCATGTCTTTCTCCTCTCTCTTCCCCACCTGACCCCTGCACACCCCCCATCTGGCGGGAGCAACCCTTTAAAAAAAATCTGATCATGTTCCCTGTGCTCAAAGCCCACCCTGTGTCCACACAAAACCTTGCACACCCGTGTGCACAGAGCACTATTCACATTGGTCAAAAGGTGGTCACAAACCAAGTGTTCACTGACAGACAAATGGATAAACAAAATGTGGTCCATCCATACAGCAGAATGCTGTTCACCCATCCAAAGAAGTGCTGACCCCCCTAAGCACGGGCGGACTCCTGGAACACCATGCTGAGTGAGAGAAGCCAGACTCCAAAGGTTGCCTATTACATGACTCCACTTACATGAAATGCCCAGAATCAGTAATCTGTAGCGACAGAAAGCAGAATAGTGATTATTGGGAGCTGAGAAGAGGGGAGGGGAGTGAGTGTTGAATGGGGACAGAGTTTCAGTTTGGGAAGAGGAGAAAGTTCTGTGGGTGGATGTGGGGGTGGCTGCACAATGAGAATGTACTTATTCCCCCAGACTGTGCACTTAAAAATGGCTTAAATGGTCAATTTGATGTTACATGTATTTCACTACAAATATACAAAAAGGAGTGAAGTACTGGTATGGGTGATAACACGGACGAAGCTAGGAAGCATTACGCTAAGTGAAGGAAGCCATATATTATAGGATTCCATTTATAGGAAATCCACAGAGACAGAGAGGAGATTAGTGGTTGGCAGGGTGGGGTGGGGGGGTGGGAACTGTTCATGGGCACAGGGTTTCTCCTGGGGATGATGGGAATGCCGTGAAGGTGACTGGATGCCCTAGAAGCCCTGTGCTGTGCACTGAGTGGGGGGCTTGTACAGAGTTCTAGCTCAATGAAGCTGTTGCACTAAAAACAAAAGAAACACTTCCTGACTCCCGCTGCTGCCCGAGCACATCCGGACCCCTGGCACCACGATCAGGACCCGACGCGCAGTCCCAAACTGCCTGGTCCCCACACGGAGCCTCTCCCACGGGCCCCCTCGGGAAACGTGTGCTTCCTAAAACCCGTCTTGGCCATCTCTCCCTTCAGGGACTGTCCCCTGCTTCCATATCACGCCTTCAGTGCCTTGCTTGGAGACGTCTGCCTGGGTGTGGGCTGGACTGCAGGATCCTCTGGGCCTGGTCTGCGGACCACGTCCTTCATGTCTTCCCAGCACTCAGCACCCAACATGAACTCATCCACCCACCCACCCACCATACTGGCTGTCTGTCCCTCTATCCATCCATTCAGAGCATGCTTCCTGAGCGCCCACCTGCAGGAGCCCTGCCCCCAGGCGAGCTGGAGCTGGCCCAGGGTCAGTGCCATCAGGAGGGCAGCCTCAGGGGTGCTGGCAGCAGGAGCTGCACCCAGGCCTCTTGCCTCTGGAGGAGGTTCCACAGGTCCCAGGGGGCCGCCACGTTGTTTGGAAGCAGAGCTCCACCCCCTGCAGACATTCTGGGCTCCCACTACCCCAGGGCCCATTCCCAAGCTTCATCCTGATGTGACGTGGTGACTGCCCCAACAACCCCCAGCAGAGGTCCCCACAGCTGAGTGACCTCATAGGTCACCTAGGTGGGCGCCCAGGAGGAGGCCCCGTTAAGAACACTGCAGGTTTCTTGTCTCCATCTAGTGGGAGAAGATAGCAGTCCAATCCTGCAGCATCTGCTGGGTGCAGGACCAGCCCGGGCGCCTCCATGGGGACCTGGTGGAGCCACAGCAGGGGAGGGCCAGAGGGGAGACCCCGAGCCCTGGAGCCTGCAGCCTCTTTCTGCATGTGCTTGGGCTGACCCTGGAGGGCCTGGGGGCTCCCTCAGAAAATGGCCGTGAGCGAGGCTCCCAAGTTCCACTAGTCACTCTGTGCCCTGGGGTCAGCGATTCAGGTCTCTGAGCCTCCGTGTCCTCATCTGTGAAATGGGTATGCTGGTGCCCAGGGCCAAGGGTGCTCTGTGAGCAGGGACTCAGGGTGACTGCGTGCAGTCCTGGCTTGTGGGGTTTCCTAGCCAGTGGCCTCATTTGGTTTGACTCAAGAAGGCAGAGCTTCCCCTTGGCAGCAGGTCTGCACTGTCCTCAATTGTCCAAACCCTCAGGGCCCTAGTCCAGAAGGCCCCCCACCTGCGGATCCCAGCATCTCTGCCACAAAGGGGGCATTGCTGAGCACCAGCCAGTCCCAGCCCAGGGATAGCAGGTAGGATGCCCAGCCCCTGCAGCCCACACCACCTCAGACCTTGGCTCGGGGCCTGGCCCCCTGGCCTGCAAGCCGCCGCTGCCTCCAGCGTTGACTCAGAGGGACCACTCTTTAAGGTTTGTGCTCACACCCTTGGCCATAGTCACCGTCTGTCCCTCAGTAATGGCATATCCATCAACAGAGAGCCTGGAGTCTCCTCCCTGCACATTTTAACTTGAGCCTCACCTGGCACCGTGATATGCATTTCTGGGCACCCACCTCTTCTCCTGCCTCGGCTGCCTGTGACCTCATTAACCCCACTCGCCTCGGCTTCCAGGGGCCAGATC